ACACAGTCATACAGCTACAACTGTATGGATTCCTAATTTCAGAAAAGTTGGAACACATCCTTAAAAATCAAATAAACAAGAATCATTGGTTTGAAAGGGCCCTGGGACATTTATATAAAAGATGAACTAAAAATAGTCTTATAGTGTTTTCTCACATCAACATCTTTTTTTTAATGAAAAAGATAATTGTTTTTACCATTCATGTAGGGATTTTAATTTTGAACTTTTACAGGTGTTTTCTCATCAAGGCAACATAGTTTTTAAGGAACTTTTTTTTTTTTTTTTGTGTTCCGTTTAATCGCTGGTGTTTGGCTGACTGGCCTGCAGTCCAGATTTGTCCTACGGAAGGGCGTTCAAATTTACATATAAAAATGTTTCTTTCATTTTGACAAAGTTCTGGTTAAAAGACATTAAAAATTACAGTTTTAGGTTGGCATCTTATTTTGAAAAACTGGTAGAAAGAAATCAATTTACATGACAAAACCCCAAACCTATGTGACAGTGTTACTTCTGTAACATTTATATTGAGTACAACTGACAAAACTCATCTCCAAAAACCCATCAAATATATGTTACAAACGAGAAAGTGGGCGATTTGCCGTAGCTCCCCTAAGGACCTCTCACACACCTCAGTAAACATACATACATGTGTAAACATGCGTGTGTTTACAGAAAAGAATATCTGTGTCACGGACAAACTCCGTGCCTTTACTCCTGTCAGAGCAAATTCAAGTTTTTACAGATTTTTTTTTTTTTTTGTAAATTGTCAAAACTCCTTCTCTGTGTGACTGGGCAGTGAGTTCTGCCCATGTTGGCAGAGTCTCACCAGGCCTTACAGTGGTATGCAGAGCCTTCCTCTGCACAGGACTATGAAAGCAATTGTGATTGTGATTCCATAGTCAGCAAAACGCTTGAATGGGCCTGAGCTAGCATGCGTAGGCACAGACAGACACACACACACTGTGTCCCCAATCTGGGACACTGTCTCTAATTTGAATCTCTCTCATCTTTTAAATCTGATACAAAGTGTGTCATCAGCTAATTACGGTAACATCACCAGCGTTCATGCTCTAAGCCAAAACTAAGAGAAAGTGTTTGTGTGTTTATTCAGGGCTTACATCACTAGAGAGTGATCAGTTAAGAGCAGCAGACTGAACACAGCTGAATGTGTTGAAACCCCATCCAGACGGTGCCATATTAAAAAAAATAATAAAACTGAGATAAGACATTCAAATGGACCACATGCTCCCCCTCCACTTATCTGCAGCAGAAGAGACCACCGGCTAACAAAGCTAGCTCCTCAATCATGTCCTATCTACACAGATATCAGTTGTTGGGAGGATATATGAGCTGGGTGGGGCCTGTGTGTATAAACACAGGGCCTACTCTCTCTCTCCCTCTGCACTCTGTATACTGTAGGCAGCAACTCAGCTCACCTCAGCAGCAGCAGCAGTCAGCGATGTTTGATTAGAGTATTCAAATAAAGGAGTAGACACAGTTCCCATTTCACAGAGCAAACCTAAAGTGTCACCCAAAACAGCCACGGTGCAATTACACCTGCACAAGATGCATCTGCACAATTTCACTGCCTTTCTGCTATACATTATGTACAAATATTGGTACAGCGAGCGTGAGTAATGTCTGCAGCGCAGCGACTGTCAGGCAGCAGAGTGCATTACCGAACAGTTTCATATTACCATCAGAGCACAAAGGTTTTTATAATGGCTTTATTTTCTGGGTAATAATTGAAGGAGAGTACTACAGTCATAAGAGACGGACACACACACACTCACACACACGTACATAAACACAGCGAAGCAAAGTGACCACTGAAATATTTAAGTGAACATCTCTGTGGTTATTTATAGAGGTTTACCGATCATCTCAGTTCACACTTGAAGAAGCGCTGCCTGTTTATTACAACTTTTTCTTTGTGCGTCTAACCTCACAGAAAACAGAACAAACTGAAGCTGCTTCATAAAAGAGAACTCCGGTCTGTTTTAACTCAGGGCTCTGCTGTTAATTCTCTGAACGTACTGTCATAGATGTGTGTAACAGGATATAAGTTGTAATATTTATTGCAAATGCAACACAATTTACAATGAAACCTAAGGTTGACGAGTGCTTAAATTAGCCTCTAAACATGCTTGAAATTTCCTACAAGTGCAAAGCAACATGAGCCATCTCCAAACATGGCACTGGCTTCTAATTAAGTAACTATTAGAAAACTGTAAAAAACAACACATTTAGCTAAATTTACTGTAAATACAACACTGTTGATGTCGCATTGCACTTGTAATAATATTTTGAGCATGTTTTTTTTCACTACTAGGCTGCATTCATGACCAACAGGACTCTGTTGGCTGTGTTGTGTAGTTTTCTCTTCTAATATTTTTCCAACGACAATGCTTTTCCACCTCTAACAACACAGCCCAGTGTTAGAAATCAGCATAAGGTCTTCTTTAAGGGCAAACTAAGTACATTTCTCTTTTTTTATTAACCACGAATGACACTGTTGATCCAAGGATTCCTCAGTAATTATCATCACATTGAATTAGCTGAAAAAACTGCACTACAGAAGCACTTGTGCAGACAAAATATTATGAATGGAGCAAGTTCCCAGCTCCAAATGTGACAAAGCCTGAAAGCATGACAGCCACACATGTTCCCTGGAAGTCACTTTAAATTGCTAATTACTCAAACTAGGCTAGTTTCTGCTCAAAGCATCCAGAATTAGCCAGGCACACAGAGGATAAGTTTGTAAATAAACAGGATATAAAAGCTTTAAAAAAAAAACCCACACAAACACATGTTCGTTTTATCCAGTTAAGGCTGCAAGACACTCCGATTAACACTGCTAATTTCACAGCTATAAAAGAAGAAATGTTCTCTGAGGCTGTAATTTGCTTCTTTGAAAACAAATAAAATCCTCGAAACTCTTCAGGGATGTGCAAAGTGGAACCTAAAAAAAATGATGTCTCTCTAGTGTACGATTAAAAAAAAAAAAAGAGAGACCAGTTTAAATTTAAAAGTAGCCAAGCCTGGCTGTCAGAGAGGATTAGCGGCAGGCAGATGTGGTGTGTACATACAAAACCTACATTACAAATCAGACTGCGCTTTAATGTCACCATCAATTCAGCACGCGTTTGAGGAGAGGAACTTGACCTCGTGCAGTGTGTTGTTAACAGGACACCAAATCATCCCCCATGGTCCTGGCCTCATTTGCATCTCCTGTGAAGGTAGTTAGTGTTTCACATGTGATGATAGTAAATTATACCTCCGCTTGTGGAAAGAACCCCAGGTAGAAGGAGTGGAGGCATTTCAATAATTCAAGTGAACACTTGTAATTTTGAGGAGGGCCACACTTTTGTCTACTTGACAGCGGCCGCTGTCACTTTCTCCCAATTGTGAAATCACTATGTTGTTGAATGTTTGGTGTCCTTCTGTCTGTATTTGTGCAGCGTGTCGATAATTTATGAGCATTTGGTTAAAGAGATGGAGGATAATCCTAATTTGTAAGAAGTCAAGATGACCAGTGACGGAGTAGACAGTTAGGTGACAGGTACACACCTGTCTAATCAATGAACATTTTTACATCCACCACATTTCACCACTTCACATGACAGCGATGTTTGTTGGTGCTTTTCTGTTGCCGTCTTTATATCTAGATGAGTTTCACAGTTAATTACTGGAAATTTCCATTCACTTACAGAGATGTTCCCATGCCCACACACTGAATGACAAATATCCCCAACTGATTTTCTATTATTGTTACTCTTTGTCATAACTGAAAAGCTTCATTTACTGGGAAACTTCAAATTGTTTTTTCTCTCTCTGAGGACTCTCATCTACAACAGCCGCAGCAGGTTGAAGTCCAGAGATGGTTGGCGTACAGCAGTCATGGTAGGAGACGACGACAACAGATGATTTAAAAATTTATTTAAAGATTACCGGTTAAATTGACACTTTAGGTCTTTTTCCTATATTTGCTCAAGGGGGGTGTTGTGTTTAAAGAAACTGACATCTAGTTTTTCCTACAATTTCAATTGACAAAAATTTCCCTGCATGCAACAACAATATTAACATTCTTATTTTACTTAGTGAAAAAATTTATGGAAATTCAAAACGCATTTAAAAAAAATCCTATGCACTTGCAATGGACTTGGTCGAAGTCCCAAGTCCAAGGCTGCGTGGTGTCACCGCTGACATGGAGGCAAAGAGTGATAGTTGTAGCAGGCAGAGACTCTGTGGTTTCTCGTTACAAAGTAATTAACAGTACATTATTGGCACACATCCATTTAATCGTCGAACTCCCCGTGGAAAAGCGTGTAAGCCATTAGAAACCGTTGGGAGGACGGTGAGGCTGACGGTGGAGCTGAGAGGAGAGTGGGGCAGTATGGATTCTATACAGCCCCTGGTATTCCACATCGGCTGGGACATTTAATGCCAGCCAGGGCAGAACACCACCTCACCAGGGGAAATAAGATAATGACCACCTTGGTTACGAGGGAAATATTTCGACCCTTTCATTTTCCTCCAAACAGTAAAACGGAAATATTGCATGTTTCAGTTTATAAAGTGGAAGCCAATTAAACACGCCGCCTGTTCCACAGTGAATTAACGCCACTTCATTGACTTTACTTGCTGACACATGACTTTTTTGTTTTGCTTTCTAAGTGTGCGTTTGGAGCAAGTGTGCGCATCCGAAGCACGGACACGGCTGTTATTGAGAGACAGGTGAGGCATAAAGCATTGGAAAGCGCCGGGCTGTACGGTATGCGATTTACCTTGTTCGTGTGATAATAGTCCAGCGAGCTCAGGCAACTTGGATCAGTCGGTAGAGAGCATGAACCCACATTTGCCGGGGGTGCAGGATAAAATCTCACGTCCATCTCAGGTTGGGCGAGACTGAAGGCATGAAATCACTTTCAGCGTCTTTGACTCAACTATTGTCTTGTCAGCAGCAAACACAGCAGAAAAAAAAAGTAGAAGACGGGAAAAGAGAAAACGAAGAAGAGAGGGGGAGTTCTACTTTGGCCACTCTTCTTCCCTCACATCCGTTCGCAGCCGAACTTCGGCAGCAACTCTGGTGATGCGCAGTCCTCAGTCACAGCTGCAGAGTGGGACCTTTCAGGGATACGCACGTGTTTGACAAAACTATTCCTCCTCGTTGCAAAACAAAACAATGAAGCACCAAACATCCAACTTCAATCCGCTGTTGTTGTTGTTTGTTTGTCTGGGGTTTTAACTGGTTTATAAATTGACAGCAGAGCTGCAGGACACGCGCACACAGCCCTCTGGTTCCTCCTCTGCTCTCAGGACTCCACACAGGCTTTGTTGTGGAGGCGCATATTCCTGCATTGGTTCCAGTACAGAAGTGCTTGGACTTCCCTCTGCCATGCGACCTCTGCCGATAATAAACGGGAAAGAGGAACGGGTGGAGAAGGGGGGAGGGGAGATTGGTGGCTGCCTTGGCAACCGCTCTCCTTTCTGCAACTGCGCGCTTCTGATTAGTTGGAAATGTAGTAGTGCGCACGGCTGTGCATTATAAAGCGCACTCTGCTCCATCAGGGCTTCATAAAGGATTCCATTTGGGTTATTGTACCAAGAAAGCACGGAGGGAATTTCACAGAATGTCTCTCTCTGTTACTCTACGCATGTCCTTTCCTTTTATTCTATTTTATTTTTTCAAACCTCCTCCATAGTGTCTCGACATGACCAAATACATCCTCTGTGTAAAACAGAGCATTTGGCTGAAGGCTGCTGTCATAAAGAGTTAAGGAGAAAAAATATATATCCCCAAGACAATGTAGGGCCCAGTGTTTTTAAGAGCATTTTACACACGTGTTCAGCATTTCTGAACACATCGGCTTTACTTAGGAAGTTTACATTTTCTTTGTATTTGGAAAAAAAGAAATTCCACAAAGGTCAAACTTATTAGCCTAGCCATCAATTGACTATTCTGGGGTCATATTCCAGTCCTCTTTGGCATACCTTTTATGCTCTTCTAAGAAACTCTAACACCACGGCTTCCAGCTTAAAACATTCACCTTGGCCTTCAGGTGTTAGTGCCTCAGTAATTTCTGAGGAACTGAGTATGCCTACAACTCATTTTTCTGTTCTTTGGGTTCTAGCTCTCTCCCTTTTTACCCAAACAAAGATGGAAGAGTTCTAGTTTAGTCTCCTTTATAAAACAAACAATGAATAAAGAATGTGTTTCTAGTAGATGTCATCTTTCCACGTTGGTCTCAGCATACTTTAACATGTATAAGTTTAGAGGTTTTAGGTTAACATAAACCTCAGTTCTACCTTCAATTCAAAAATGGTCTCATATATGAGAGGGTTTTTTTCAGTTCCTCATTTTATGGGTCAGTGCTTGAGAAGGATAATTACAATAGCGCGCCTAAATAAAACTGATGAGCAGTTAAATGTTGAGTTAAAAATACCTTGTTGTAGGAGAGCACTTGTGAAAAGCTCTAAAAATAACATTTTCATAAGAGAGCCTGATGAGTTCTTTCTCAGCCTCACTTTAAAGCGAACAAATGTCAATTTTACTTAAGCAGTCCTTTTTGATTTTGGCAATGCTTGATTTCTTTTTTTTTTTTAAATCACCTTTAATTAAAGCTGCTCCAAATCCAAGTTCATCGAACTCATATTAATCTCATGTAACAGCACACGACAGCACAGTCCAAACAATGAGCACATTGAAAATTGTGTCTGTACACACTGGCGGTGGACCATACGAGGAGGGTTTAATCTTGTGTTGCCATACAGTTGCAAATGTGTGTGGGGAGAAGCGGCGGCAGTGAGGGCTGCTTCTGACAGCTCACTGAATGTGATGGATAGCACACCCTTGCCCTGTGATGTGCATGCACATTTGATGTTGAAATGGCCTATCCATGGGACCATTGTCTTTCAATCATGTCAAGGCAAAGTACAGAACAGAGCACATTTTCTGCTGCTTGCCGTTATTACTTTGCCACAGTTTAGAGCACAGCTCTTCCCTGGGCCTGCTCAGAAATCTTCTTTACTCTCTCGACGCTCGTCTGCGTAGAGATACCTAAATAAAACTACTTTTTTTTTCTTTCTGCGATGTGCGGCCGCTACAACATTGATAACACAGCATTCCAATCCCTCCTTAACAAATTTGCAGACAGGCTTTCATTAGTTGGAGCTAAACGTGAATAGAGCAAATGCGAGGACGCTCACAGGAAACCATTGTTTTTACCCAAACTCTGACAGCGGCGTCTGCCCACTACTGCAGGTCCTGTGTACCTAACCTTCACAAATTTAAATAGCTGGTCATTATTGCAGCAGGTCTATTATGTTACAGTGCAGCCTCCTTACAGTGTAGGCCTTCACTGGTGGGCACGTCCTACCACCCTCCCTCCTCACCCCCCCAACCTCCCGAACAGCTCACTGAGAGTTAACCACATGGCTCAGTGCCATGGCTTCATGGGAATGGAATGTGGAGTGCTGTGTGTGCAGGGCTCTTTTCCCAGCATCCCTCACTGCCCAGGCGCATGCTAATGATCAGTATTATTGAAGCACAATTGATGGGCTAGCAACCAAACAAGAGAAACTAATTACTACTAAGGCTTTATTGTCCTTTAATTATGGAAGCTCTATGGCAATTAGCATGGCACAAAGATGCAGCCCTACTTTAATCTCAAATAAAAATGTGATGCAGATGAAAAAAAAGAAAGAAAAAGGAGTGGAAGATGAATCTTGTGTAAGATAATTTGGCTTTAGGTTTGTTCGGCAGAAATGAAGGCTGATTTGTGCAAAGTGTGGGAGGACAAAAGAAACTACTGAGGGCTCTGTTGATTCAAACGGAAAATTATCTCAAAACAAAATTGGCAAATGGTATTACTCTGACCTTGGATGCCTAAAATAAGAGAAGCAAATGCAGAACAATTTCTTCCTCCAGAAACATAACGGAAAACACTTTTCACACCGTCCTTTTATGTCATTTAAATAAACCGATGCGGTAAAAAAAAAAAAAAAATCTTGTGGAGGTTTCACAAATAGTTTTACACCCACACCAGGTTTATTTCACATTGTAGGACAAACTGAGCTGAGCAGCTAGACAGGAAATGAAAGCTGCTCTTAAGAAAGTAAAAAGAACATTTCATGCTCACATGTCCTTTGCTGATTAAACGACGAAGGCTACTTTCTGAGGTCACAGGCAGAAAAGTCTTTATTTGCAGCTTGATTAAACATTTACTGTTTACCTCTATTCCACTTCAAATGTTTCAGAGTTTTAAAAGCACGGTGACCTTTTCAAGCATCATTTGTCCTGATTCATGGCTTGTACATTATTAAAGGTGCTTCAAAACGAACATGCATCGTACAGTGGATATGCTGCACATGCTCTCTGTGCTCGTGAAGACCTGTATTAAATCAAAGAGCAAAGCTAACATATTTGACTTTGCTTGCAAAAGCAAAATTAATTCATAAAAAACCAACAATACAGCACTAAGAATGACAGGCTAACACACCAGGAGTACAATATACTGATCAACCCAGAGGTTCCCATAGAATGGGATGGGGCAGTAAGACCAATACAGTCCTCTTTTAGGACCTGGTTAGGTATTAAAAATATAACATGATAACATTGTTCCAAAAAACAAGAACTTAGTTTCAACTGAAAAAGACCATTGAAAACAGAGCAGAAGGAGGCATATCATCAGCTTGCAAAAGGAAATGTTATTGATTATTATCGATTTATCTGAGATGGACAGTGTGATCACTTTTAAATAACTGTTAAATAATGTTTAGCAATAAATGTATAACATTTTGCAATCATGCTTTTGACATTTTCAAGGTAACTTACGTTATTTCTGCCTGGCAGCGGGTTTTAAGACAGAAAATGTGTTCCAGACATTTAAAAGTAATTAATTTTAAAATGACTTTCTTTAATCTCTTCAATGTGAGAAAGCTGTGATTCAATCAGTCAAATTTATTTTTTAGATTTCCAGTCTCTCACTGCCAGCAGCTGCAGTTTGGATTTTATAAACTATTTATTTTAGAATACTTGTAAAACATTTTGGCTCTACCTGTGCAGTATGATGTTGCCTTTGTGGAGGTTGGTACGATATAAAATCCTTTAATATATAGGCAGAATAAATGTGTAAATAGGTGACTAATTTGAGTAAGGAACAATTCAGTATTTTTATTTGGAAATAAGTTGTTATTATAAAATTAAATGAAATAAAAACATTTAGACTCATGAAACGTCTACTAATTGACAGAAATGCAACCTACTTTTACTATTTAGCATTTGTTAATTTGATCTGTTCACGCAAGCTGTAAACAACCCGTCATATTATGTTTAATGACTGTAATCCCTTAATATATTTCCTTATTTTCACCACAAATGATTAGTCTGTCTTTCACCCCCGTGGCCCTTTAAACAACCTGACAAAGACTGAGTTTCACAGCCTTTTAAAGGCTGCACACTGGCGTACAGAGAAGGATTTAATGTCACTGTTATAATGTGTTCCTGTGAGTTATGTTTATCTGCGTTCCTCTGGTGCACCTGTGCCCATCTGTTCCAGGAATAATGAGCCGCACACTAAATAAGCACTAAATGGAGGAAACCTAGAAAATGTTCGGACCTATTTTTTCATACGGAGAGGAGATAAATATTGCAGATTGCTCATTTTATGTTTTTTTTTTGTTTGTTTTTTTAATAATTCATATTTTAAGGTTTTCTTGCAAAAGCAGTAATCTATAAACAAAGGTAGAAGAAGAAAAATAGTCAGTCGTGGTACAGTTGGTGGACCTTTGACCCCAGTGCCAGGTTGTACTGACCGGCAGCGTGTGGTAGGTGTCAGCACTGCTCCTGGACCTCAAACAGCAGTAAAGATAATGTTTCTAGGATTATTCGTTTATGGTGAGAGCTGTAACTTCCCGGCTGTCCCCAACGTCATTACACACTGGGATACAGTATGGAAACCAGAGCCCTACTTTCACTCTGTCCACTGTCCTGTTTAATAGACAGTGATCCCATGAAGACCTTGCCGTAGCTCAGCACACAAGGAGGTCGTGACCTAGTTTCCCCAGGGGTCAGCTCCTATACTCTGCTGCAGCATTGTAAGCCTTTGATATCTGAAGCACTGGAAGATTATGTCTGCGTCATGTGTGTGTATTTATTTAGCACATATAAGAATGATGCTGACCTACTAACATAATGTGTAATACTGCTTTCAATAAAGCTGATAAACTAACTTAAAAAATACAGTTCAAATAAAAACCTGTACTAAATAACGTTAACCACTATTTAACGGGACAAATGATAAAGAAAAAATATGTTAAGGGTTTTAATTTGATGACAAATATAAAAAAATATATATTTTAAAAGAATAAAAAAATGCCTACAAGACAGACAAAAATGGGACCAAAGTGACCAGGACAAACAAGATCAGGTCTGAACAGATCAGAGGGACAGATGAGGTGGAGCGGTTTGGAGATAAAGTCAGAGAGGTGAGGTTCAGATGGATTGTGAATATATAGTGAATACAACAGTCAAAGGATGTTAGAGATGGAGATTTGTGGATGTTGTTAAAGAGGACATGGAGTCAGAGGAGACATAGGTAACAGTAATGCCTGTGAAAGTACAACTGATGTTGAGGCTTAAATTGGACTTTCAGACACAAAGGCTTAGAACCAGTACCGAGCCAGGTACTCCTTTCAAATCCTTGTGCTGAT